TCTAGTTTAATGAAAAGAAGGACTAGGGGAGACATGGTAGCGGTGTTCCAATATCTCAGGGGTTGCCACAAAGAAGGAATCAAGCAGTGGTGGGTTGCAGGCAGTACACCCCGGTACAGGCGTACCGGGGCCTGCCGGGAGCACCGGGTACTGTTCCAGTATGGTGCTCTGGAGGGCCCATCCGCCCGCTCTCCTTACCTGTATTTGAGCTCTTCGGCGCTTCTGCACATGGAATGTACAATGCCTGCGTGACGCTCCGCTGAGCAGCTGGAGCATCGCAGAGGCGTCGCAGGACTCTTCCCGCAGCCAGCCCACAACCATAGAGCGTAGTACCAGAGCAGCTGCTGCCGGAAGACTTGGCAGCGGATCTCCAGAGTTTGGAAGCCGGTTATGCTCGGAGTATGGTGGTGGCAGCGGCAGCGGGGCAGTGGAGGCAGCAGGGCAGCAGTGGTGCCCTGGCCCAGCCCTGCAGGGAGAGTTGGGCATGGTGAGGCAGGGAGACATGTGAGCTGGAGGCAGAACAAGTGCTCGTGCAACCTCTCTTTCCAGCCGGGCAGAGTGCCATGCGGCTTAGCGCCTTTGGGATATTACTCATGAGAGCAACTACCCGGCAACCCCCCACTCCAGCTGGGCACAGCGCTACCCACCAACCTAGCAGTATCCCAAAGGTGCCAACAATGTGAGCGCCTTTGCCCCCCCTCCCCCCGGCTCCTGCGCCTTTGCACCTTCGGGATATCGCTAAGTTGGTGAGTGGAGTTCTGCCTGGCTAGAGGGGGGGTGTTATCCAGGGGGCTTATTATTGGGGGAGGGTGTATATTTTTGCCCACAGGAAAAATATGGCATGGTCTTATTATCAGGACATGTCATAATTTCAGAGAAATACGGTAGGTGAGGGAGAGAGAGAGAGAGAGAGAAGTAGGTAGATAGGTAGAGGGATAGAGAGAGAGAAATAGAAAGAGAGAGAGAAATACAGCAGATAAGTAGGGAGAGAGAGAGAGTAGTTAGGTAGGTAGGTAGATAAGGGATATATATATATCCCTTAATACATATATATATGTAATACATATATATTATATATGTATAATATATATGTATATATATAGTTTTTAGTCAACTGTGCATGTGCAGCAATGTGTGGTGAGCATGAGCNCTGAAGTACTTCAGCGGTTCAGCCCCTCTGCTCGGTTTCAGTGCTGAACTGTCTGTTGGAAGGGGCTTTCAGTTTGCCCCTCTCCATCTGAAAGGCTTGGATTTAGGCAGCAGCATCAAAAACACCCAACCTAGTTGTAGCTGATGGAGAAAGGCTCAGGAGGGTCTTATTCCTAGTCTTTCTATTCAAGATTCTAACAGAAGTGCCTGATCATGAGGTCACTCAGCAATGGACAATCAGCAATAAAGATGATTAGGGGACTAGAGGCTAAAACATATGAAGAACGGTTGCAGAAACTGGGTATATCTAGTTTAATGAAAAGAAGGACTAGGGGAGACATGATAGCGGTGTTCCAATATCTCAGGGGTTGCCACAAAGAAGGAGTCAAGCAGTGGTGGGTTGCAGGCGGTACACCCTGGTACAGGCGTACCGGTGCCTGCCGGGAGCACCGGGTACCGTTCCGGTATGGTGCTCTGGAGGGCCCATCCGCCCGCTCTCCTTACCTGTATTTGAGCTCTTCGGCGCTTCTGCACATGGAATGTACAATGCCTGCATGACGCTCCGCTGAGCAGCTGGAGCGTCGCAGAGGCATCACAGGACTCTTCCCGCAGCCAGCCCACAACCATAGAGCATAGTATCAGAGCAGCTGCTGCCGGAAGACTCGGCAGCGGATCTCCAGAGTTTGGAATCCGGTTATGCTCGGAGCATGGTGATGGCAGCGGCAGCGGGGCGGTGGCGGCAGCAGGGCAGCGGTGGTGCCCTGGCCCAGCCCTGCAGGGAGAGTTGGGCATGGTGGAGGCAGAACAAGTGCTTGTGCACCCTTTCTTTCCAGCCAGGCAGAGCGCCACGCGGCTTAGCGCCTTTGGGATATTACTCATGAGAGCAACTACCCGGCAACCCCCGCTCCAGCTGGGCACAGGGCCACCCACCAACCTAGCAGTATCCCAAAGGTGCCAACAATGTGAGCGCCTTTGCCCCCCCTCCCCCTGGCTCCTGCGCCTTTGCACCTTCGGGATATAGCTAAGTTGGTGAGTGGTGTTATGCCTGGCTAGAGGGGGGGGGTGTTGTCCAGGGGGCTTATTATTGGGGGAGGGTGTATATTTTTGCCCACAGGAAAAATATGGCATGGTCTTATTATCAAGACATGTCATAACTTCAGAGAAACACGGTAGGTGAGGGAGAGAGAGAGAGAGAGAGAGAAGTAGGTAGGTAGGTAGAGAGAGAAATAGAAAGAGAAAAATACAGCAGATAAGTAGGGAGAGAGAGAGAGAGTAGTTAGGTAGGTAGGTAGATAAGGGATATATATATCCCTTAATACATATATATATGTAATACATATACATATACATATACATATACATACATACATACATACATACATACATACATACATACATACATATATATATATATATAGTTTTTAGTCAACTGTGCATGTGCAGCAATGTGTGGTGAGCATGAGCAAAGCAAGCAGCGCACGGGGAAAACACCCTCTCAGCGAACCGATAGTAAAGCGGTTAGGAACTCACCACTGCCTAGACTCCTACACATTGGAATCTGAATATAGATCTGATTCTGATTTCATCGTGGTTTTTTTAAATCTAGGCAGAATGTTAATACATCTGCAAAGTCCCTATATGATATGCCATACTCTAAATAAATAAATACATAAGACCAATGCATTATTTTATATACCTTCAAAAACGGTATTTGAAAGTTATGCAATGACCTCCGAATCCTATTAACTTTTTTTTTTCTAAGCAAATTGCAGCATTTTTCCCTGACTTGCTCAAGCACT